GTTTCATAAACAGACATCTGCACTCCGTGTGAGCAAGCGCCATCACATTCCTGAATTCCAAGGCTAAAAATGCATTTAAATCATACAAATAACCTTTAATGTGACCCAGATCCAGGATCATGTTGTCAAAGGCTGCTAAAGAGATTGAAGTAAGCTTTGAAGCACTATTGACAGCCATGAACCATGACTGGGATTGACAATCGAGATGAGTCTCATTAAAAGAGCTTGAAAAAAAGAAAAAAAAATCAATATTTAATCTAGGATTCTTTCCACAGACTCATATCTGATGTGTCTTAAAAGAAGCTCAGTCAATCAGTCATTTAATGTTTAATAATAAACAATTAACTTTTAAAAGGTTTTTAGCTGGTAAATATAAGATGTCCTGTTTTTGCTGCTTTTGCTGCGAGTTTTAATACTGCATTATAAAGGCACACTGATATGTGCTGTATGAATGAATGTGTGAAGTGTGAGAGTTATGTCAGCTGATGGAACGGGGAGTTTGGACTAACCTTGAAAGCATTGATCCATGGGGCAATTTATTTTACAACCAACAAACAAGGCTGCAAATCAATTTTCAAACCAAATGATATGAAGATGAGTATTGATCGGTGGAGGTGTTGGCAGACACAAAGAACTGTATGAGGCAGCACAGTGCGTGTGAGTGTGTGTGTGTGTGTGTGTGTGTGTTTGTGTGTGTGTGTGTGTGTGTGTGTGTGTGTGTGTGTGTGTGTGTGTGTGTGTGCGCGTGTGTGTGTGTGTGTGTGTTTCCATGGAAATGGAAAAGCTGATGGATATGAGGAGCTGGAGTAAGTTATTTTGCTCTGAACTTGAAAAATAAACCCAGGTGCCTGTTATCCTTATGTCTTTGCCAGTATCATGAATATATTTCAACATTATGAAATCATCTAGTCAAGTTTAATGTTTTTAATGAAAAAAGTCAAGTGGAATAAACAATATCAACATTATTATTTCATGTAAAATATTTTATAGCTTTTCTTTTCTTTCTTCTCTTCTTTTCATTTCTTTTCTTTTTAAAACATCTGTTTAACATTTATTGACTAATTTACACCACACCATACAATTTTACACCAATAAAGGCTTTGATGGAAATTCTAAATGAAATGCATATTTAAGCAAATCATATACAGTATGTCAGTCTTGGTTTTGTCATTGTGTTGTTATGGTTACTTCTGTTAGGTAACCATCTAATCTTCTCCATCAGTATATTAAACCCTTGTGTTTCTGTTTGCATTTGTCAGTTGTTATAGCTATTTTCATGGATGTGAATGTATTTCTGACACATTTTCATTTTTGTCAATGTGGGTTATGGAATAAATGATGTGGATTCTCTTATTGCCTCTTGCCATGAAACAATTTCTGTATAATCTGACACTTGTCCATATAATAAAAAAGCGGTAATACTACCAGGGGTGGATTTAGTGATTTGGGGGTCCTAAACAATTCCAGCCAAGGGACCAAAAAAAAAAAAAAAAGTTCTAAAATGCACCTTTTGTACTTAAATTATAATTATTATTATTATTATTATTATTATTATTATTATTATTATTATTATTATTATTATTATTATTATTTTGCAGTATTTTTTTCTTATTTCATTTGATATCATTTTCTACATATTATCTTTATGCAAAATAACAATAACTAACAATAACAAAGTAAAGAACCTAGTAAAATGATTTAAAATGATTTGTTTCATGATTCATGATTGTTTGTTAATTAATGTATTAATTATCACATTAGTTTATGATTAATTAAACCATCATGAGCTCATGATATGTTCATGTATAGTTATATCATGACTTTACTTGGAGGGGCACATAATCATTAACCCATTCTTACTGTAACTACTCATGAACTCCTTATGCCTGTCCAAATAGTGCGTTGACACTGCGTAACAAGAGAAAGCGTTCTGTCAACATCAACATGAACAGTTTAAACACAGGAGTTCATGAGTAGTTAAGGATGAGTTAATGGTGATGTGCATTAAGTAAAGTCATGACATAATCATACATTAACAGCTCATGAGTTTATGTAGGTTAATTTTAGCTTAAACTTAAATGTTAATTAATACACTAATTAACAGCATGTACAAACAAGTAGTTAAGGTAGCCATTGTTTACTCATGAACTCTTGTGAATCATGCTGTAGTTAAAGTTAATTCATGTTTCATGCACACCTTAAATTATCATTAATTGTTAATAAAGTAATGTTTACTTTATGGATTAATACATCTTTAATCATGTACTGTAACTGTAAAAAAGCATTTTAAGTGATGAGTAAAGTATGAAATATGAGCAATATATAGCACCTATAGATTTAAAGATGGTGTTATGTGTCTTAACCCCTTAAAAGAACAACTAAAGAACCAAAATTGGCATGATAGCACTTAAATTGGTTCCCCTATGATTAGTAACTAAATAAACTATTGCAAAGTACTGCTAAGACCCCATTTGTGTGAGTGTATCTGATTAACTTTTTAAAAATATATAGGCCTACATATACAGTTGAAGTCAGAATTATTAACCCCCTGTTTATTTTTTCCCTCAATTTCTGTTTAACTGAGAGCAGATTTTTTCAACACATTTCTAAAAATAATAGTTTTAAAAAACTCATTTCTAATAACTGATTTATTTTATTTTTGTCATGATAATAGTAAATAAAATTTGACTTAACCAGGTTAATTAGGTTAACTAGGCAGGAAAGTGGTAATTAGGCAAGTTATTGTAAGATGGTTTGATCTTTAGACAATTGGGGGAAAAAATGTAGCTTAAAGGGGCTAATAATTTAGAATTTAAAATGGTTTTCAAAAATTCAAAACTAGCTTAAATAAAACAAATTAGACTTTCTCCAGAAGAAAAAAAGTATTATCAGACATACTGTGAAAATTTCCTTTGTTGAAATAGATATAAATAAAAAAATAAATAAGTTCAAAGAGAGCCTAATAATTCTTCAACTTCAACTGTATATATACATATCCATACATATATTCCGATAAAAGCATCACATGGGGTAGCATGATCGCCTCACAGCAAGAAGGTTAGAGCCCTGGCTGGGTCAGTTGGCATTTTTTGTGTGGAGTTCTCCCAGTGTTCGTTTGTGTTTTCTCTGGGTGCTCCGGTTACCCCCACAAGTTGCAGATGAATTGCAGATGGAAAGGCATCCCCTGCGTAAAACATATGCTGAATAAGTTGTCGGTTCATTCCACTGTGGCGTCCCGTGAAAAATAAAGAGACCAAAAATAAAATGAATTAATAATTTTTTCCAATAAAACAATTACAAAGGCAATTTGTGCTATCATTTATGTCAAATATTATATTATTAATATTTTCATATTTTATAATAATTTAACCAGAACATAACAGGGGTCTTACTTTTTAAGGTACACTTCTAGCTTTTGCCTCGATAAACTCCTAAATTGATGCTTGTTAATAGTCAATATAGATTAGGTATTAGGTAGGTTTAGGGAAAAGCAGAATATGTACCTTTTAAGTACTAATAAAGAGCCAATACCTTAATAATAGGTAGTGTTTGATGTTTATAATGTTGATTAGTATAATACAGCACTACTATAATCACAGAGGCTCCAAAATGTATGTCTTGCTTATTTGTGTGTTGTTTGTGAATTTGGAAGAGCACATGCTGTAATAATTCAGTCACCCGATGACCATTGTAATCATAAACTTGATTTATTTTAGTCACAATACTATATAATCTGTTACTAACAGATCAACAAACTGCATGTAGATAATTTATTAAAGTATTATATAACCTGGCTGCAATATTATTACAAAACCTTATTGTTTATTATTGCTTGTTCTGTTGTGATAATGATTATTATAATCTTTATTGCTTTATTTATTTATTTTTTATTAACGAATATTCAAGAATGCAGAATTCATGTGATTGGCCAGAAACATCACAGCAAGATTGTGTGTGTGTGAGTGTGTGTGTGTGTGTGTGTGTGTGTGTGTGTGTGTGTGTGTGTGTGTGTGTGTGTGTGTGTGTGTGTGTGTGTGTGTGTGTGTGTGCCTAAACATATAAACATAAAGATGTCTTGGCTAAAACAAGGCTAAATTTGTACATGAAAATTTTGTATACATCAAAGAATACCTAAAAACTAGACTATAGTCATCAAACACACATAGATGCTATAACGTGTGTAATCATTCATTCTTGTGCACTTTGTCTAGTTTTTGGCTATTCTTAGATGCCTTATAGATATTCACTGACATCCTAAATTTAGCCTTGTCTATGTTTAGACATCTAAGATGAATTGTTTGGTGCTATTGGTTGTCATTGGACAATATGCATTTTCTATTCCAAGAATCAATACACAGCAAATTGTGAGGTGTTGAATTTCTGGTGTAAGCTCATGTAGTGTTTTAGTGTTAAAATCTAAGTGTACATATACTGTTTTTAACGCTGATGTGGGTTAAATTGTGACTTTAACAGTGTGTATTATTGGTGTTGCCTTTCCATACTCCTCATCGGTGTTAATTGCACATACGGGAACTTGAGGTGACTGAGTCAATACGGTCCGCATTTGACGATAAACTTTTCATTAATGGCTGCTCCTGCTGGACAGTTTCCTGCCGGAAACTTGACATAAAAGCAATCGAAATAAACGCGAGTCGGAATTTTTACATTTTAAAATTAAGAAGCCGGTTTAGCAACTTTAAAATCCGGGATTGTGGGACTATACCCGTGAATCATTACAGCATCAGCCACACAAAGCCATAGGTGTTGAGGTACGTCATTTTCCTCATTTAATAGCACAAACTTCAGTTTTTTTTATTTGTAATGTTATATATACGCCTGGGCTACTTGTTAATTACACAAATTGTCCTAAATACTTTTGTAAAACCTTAATGTCACGAATCATTTTAAATGATTTTTGGCGCGGGATTCTACACCACTTCAGTGTATATTTTACATACAGGACCCCCTCGTGAGTCATCAACACGGAGCGGAGAGATGGCAGCAGCAAGTTTTCCGCTCATTTAATGCCAAAACAGGTGAGTTGTTTTGTACGTGTTATCGAAATTATAACGTAGTAATTTTATTTGAACAAAGAGAGTATTGCAGAGTGTAACGTTACGCTTTCTGCCTTTAACGTTACTGCGAATGCCTCATAAAATGTCACTCATAAATTTAGTTTTAGACAGCTTTCCTATCTTTACACATGCTTAAAATCTAAATTTTTACCGTCTGTTTATTCGTTTGTGCGTAAATGGTATGGGTATGTTGTTGAAACTTATTTTAAATGTGATTGAATCAACCAATGCAATCCCATTTATTATTTAACGTCGCAAATTATGTGCTATTGAGCATTTTACACATGGTACACGATGTCTGTAAGTGATTCTGATTGGGAATGTGGAGAATGAATTCGTATCCTTACATGTATACCGTTAACAGCATTTCTTTTACGTTTGCCGTCAGCTAGTGCGTATAATTTTGAAAGATTTTAAGGCGGGTTAATGTACACTGATTTAGTGTTCCTTTTTTCAAACGGAGACTCGAATCCTTGCGTGTCACGCTGGAAAAATAACGAACTATGCATGAAGCAAGTAGAATCAAAAGTAAGTTTTTCCTTTCCATTTTTGCTTGAAAACAAAATCATTTGCTTAACTTTAAGTTATACCGTTTTACATTAAGGATAGCAATTTAGTGTATGACGTCTGCCGCTGTGGTAAATGTTTTATTAATACTGCAAATGTTACTGATAATATATTCTAATATTCGTTTTATCATCTTTCTCCTGGAAAAGTCTAATGTTACTATTTACTAATATTATTTTTCATCGACGTTTGAAGGAAAAATGTACTAACCAGTCAATGTTTTTTTTATATTTCGAGTTAAAATCCTGCACTAAGACCGGTTTTGTGCAAAGATTTGAATCTAATGTTTTTTGTGACTTGTCCAACTATTGCAAGAATCCACAGAATGTTAAACTCTCCATATTGTGCAAAGTTGGATGTCTACTTTTAAAGAAATGTGGTAAACCAGACTTAGAATTTTGAAGAACATTGATATTTATTTATATAAATGTTTTTCTTTTTTTGTTTGTTAGTGTTTATTACCCAAACTCTATTATAATCATATCTTTTATTTCTAACCAGATGATCAACAGAATGCTGTTTAAAGTACAGTATCAAGCTCGTAAGAGATACATGAAGCTTCCAGTATTGGAATATGATGCCCTTATACGGGAAGGTAAGTTTTCATACAATTTTTTTTGATACCTGGCATTTTTTTTGTTTTTTTGGCTAATGTCTCTATATATTAGTTTAGCCTAAAACACGTTTAGAAACAGATATTATGAAACAACTGATGGAAAATTGTAATTTATTTAAATATTTGTTTTTCTATTCACCTAATTATATTATTTATTTTATGCCATTTTGTGTAGTCAAGGAGAAATTTGGTATATCTCCAGATCATACCATTTATTTGGCAGACGAGACCGGAACTGAAGTGGATGAAGATGTTTTTGCTGATATTATGGAACAAAAGTCTGACACACTTTGGACAATTGTTGATTCTATGGCTACAGAAGGTTTGCAAGGCTGCAAGTGCAAATATGTGTGTTTTAAATAGTTATGTATTTGTAACATTTCATTTTCTTGTTAGATTCTACTGCCCCACCACCCTCTCAATTTTCAAGTGAAATGAAAACGGTGTCACCAACAGACAGCTGTGTTTCTGTTCTCTCAACAAAAAGACCTCGAACTGACGACCAATTTACTGAGGCCAAGGAGGTAGATTACATGATTAAAACCTATATAAATGTTGCCTTATGACATGATTTGATCAATTTATCTTTGTTTTTAAGCTTGTAAAAGATGTATTGGGGAAAAAAAGTGCAGGGGAGAAGATTTTTCAGGAGTACAGAGCAACTGGGAAAATCACAGATTCTACAAGGCGAATTCTTGTGAATGCTGTAGTTGGAGACATGATTGAAAAACATGGGTAAAGTATATAAATATAAGCTGTTTTTACAATGCATTGTCATCCCAATTAAAGGGATAGTTCACCCAAAACTGAAAATTTTGTCATCATTTACTCACCATTTACTTGTTTTTTTTCTTTCTGCTGAACACAAAAGAAGATATTTGAATAATGTTGTAAACATGTAACCATTTTCCCACTGATGGGTTGCAGCTAGAAGGCCATCCGCTGCGTAAAACATATGCTGGATAATTTGGTGGTTCATTCCGCTGTGGCGACACCAGATTAATAAAGGGGCTAAGCTGAAAAGAAAATGAATGAATGAACATGTAACCATTGATAGTGCTAAGGAAATCAATGGTTACAGAGTTCTAAAAGAATTTATTAAAACCACTAATTTGTGTTCACTAGAAAAAATAAACTCAATGGTTTCAAAGAACTTTAGGATGAGTAAATAGGGGAAATCTAAATTTTGGGGGACCCATCCCTTTTTAACAGACTTGAACATTCAAATCAAAATCTTTGAACTGTCTAGAAACTTGAGTCCAATTTTGCATATTAAATGGACATTTAAACTAAAACTGAAAATTTACTTGCTATTTGCTCACCCTTAAATAGTTTCAGACCCTTATGGCTTTCTTTATTCAGTTGAACACAAAATAAGATATTTTGAAGAAAGCTGAAAACTTGTAACCATTGACTTTGTTAGTAGCAAATGCAAATACTATGGAAGTGAATGGTTACAGGTTTCAACTTTCTTCAAATTATCTTTTTGTGTTCATAAAAAAAGTCTAGCAGGTTCGATAGAAGTAAAGTCTGGGTAAATGATTGTTAATATGTGGGGTATAAATGAAAATCGGTTGTACAAAGTGTGTTACCTTGTGCAGCAAAACTGTTGCATCACTTCACTACCTCATCATGGGATAGTAAAGTGTGCATATGTGCATTTCAGAATCTTTGTGACGGTAATTTATCTAAATACTTCTCACTCAGTGTCCTATTAATACTTTGTTTTTGGAAATGGTACTCTGCTTACATACTGTTTCATATGGTAGTATGTGTACTATGTGAGTTTGTACACAGCATAAGTCTGTATTGCTTGTTAAAGATTAAACTCTGCAGAAGCAGCACCCATGTTCTAGTTATTTGTTTTAATAAAGTACACAGTTTAATACATATTACACACTATAATTTTATTTATCTTCGTAGGAACATTCCACCAAAAGAAATACGAATTAAATATGCTGTTGGAATAGTGACTCTGTTCCCCTCCCTCAAAGATCCCTACTCCAAAAGAGGCTATGTGAGTTGTTGTTTATTTTCCCTAAAAAAATAAATAGTGTCTTTTTAATTTAACTAAAACATCTTGTTTTTTTTATTGCAGGAACATTTTTATGATCCAGAAGGTAACTCTGGATACATAGCCTGGAGACTGAAAACGGTTCAGCGCAACAGTCAAGTCAGTAGGACCAGCATTCCACAAGGCATCTCTGAGAGGAGGGGCCCTATCACTAAAAGAGCGTTTTTGACAACGGAGATACAGCTAGAGGGAGATAGCTGCCAGGAAGCCATTTCATTTCTAAAACACTGTTCTGATCTGGAGCAAGTGGCTGCAAAGATGAAATCTACTTTCCAGTATCGCCAGGAACTGATCCGCAATCCTGAAAAGTCGTCATCTGTTTTCAATATATTCCCTAGGTTTCTTGACACAAAAGGCCTGGTATGTGCTGCACCAACTGATGGTGGTTTAAAATGGATTTTAATCTGCTGATGTGACATGACATTTCTGTTTTAATCTATATAAAACATTAGGTGCTTCAAGACTTTGAGTTGCTGTTTGGAGTAGAGACTTCAGCAAAGCTTCTGGAGAAGTGGGGATCTTCTCTTAAACACAAAGTAATTGGAGAAGCCAAAAACCTGACCCAGTCATTTCATCTGAGTCGTCTGATCGAGTCTGCAGAGCAATGTGAAAGCAGTCAAGAAGTTACAGGTAGTTATTTATGTATCGCAATAATTGTGTGTTTCTTTTATGGCTTTTAGGCTTTATTATAAGTAATTTTAAGTCATACACATAGATTATCTTGATTTAATTCATGTAGATTGAAACAATTATGGGCCATGGTGTTTTCTGAAAGGATGTGATTAATCATATGCATTTGTTTTAAAAATAATGGGCCATGATGTTTTCCTTTTCTTGACTTTTAGAGTGGGACAGTGACATGTCTTCACTGTTGTTGCTTCTCTATCTCCTTCCACCACCTTCAAGTGGAAAGAAGAATATTGTAAAGATCAGTGTCCAAGAAGCATTAAACCACATAGTAAGGTTCCACAAGGTATGCTTTGTGTTTGGGTCGGACTAATTAGTGTTCCAAATGTTCTAAGATGAAAGTTAACAATGGATATTAACTTAAATAGTGGTAAATGATTGCAAAGAATAAAACAATTTAATAAACTAGGCACATTTTGCAATGACTAGTGCTGCACTGACCATGAATTTTCATGAACCATATAATTTGCGTTGTTTTTTTTTTTTTAAATAGCCTAAAATAGTCTTGCATAACAATAATGTTGTTTATCACAATATATTGTACAACAAAAATTTGAATTTGTGACAGGCCTACTGTACACACTTTGTGGCTGAATTCAAACATTTATTTTGCAGACGTGTTTGGAGCAAATTTACGTTTGATCTGTAATTCTTAGATGTACATCATACCCTCTTTTGTAAAATACTGAAATTTTTGTTTTACTTTTTTTTTTTTCAGTCCTGTTGCAGTTTCGATGACGTGCTGAGGGCAGGACAGACAACACAGCCGTACATCTTGGCAGTCGGAACTTTGAAGAATTGCATCCATGACTATTACATCATCGTGGATGGACAACTCATTCCCTGCAAGGCGATGTCCTCTCTGGCTGCTTTTGATGAGCTTTTCAAAGCACATTATGTGTTCGGCATTTCATATGATGCTGCTTTACACAGTATGTACACGTTTCTTCAAACAACGGTTTACAACAATGACGTTGGTGTCACTCATGAAAGCCCTCGAGTAAGGGATCTTCGAGCCAAGATTCTAAATTAGGACACTACTGCAGAGCTTAAAAATGTTTAGGTGCTTTGTTTGCAAGTTGACTTGCAGTACAGTCAATGATCTAATACGCCATCTAAAACTTTCTCATGCTTTTTATCCTGGCAGAAGATTACAGTTGGTATGCAATCAGGATGATTGTTGTCTAAGATTTGTTTCATATTCAGGGTTTAGAAAACATCTTCAACGTAGGCACAACAGTGAGCTCTCTGACATGTCTTTATTTGAATCCTCCCCGGCTCCTTCTGTTGAAAGTGGACCAGCATCTGTAACACAACCTTCCAACTTAGTTTCAGGAAATCCAGGAACATCTTCAAACACTGATGAGAGAAAGTTGAGAACTCAAGAAATGTGTGCATCAGTTATTGCAAAATTACAGAGTAGCGGAGTAGCCTCCAACGTAATTACATCAGTGGCTGAAAATATGGAAGAGCTTGTGAGTGAATTGCATTCAAACATCAGAGAGGATATTGTTCAGTTGGTATCTGATGATCACAGGTCAGATGTTGAAGAGTATTTTGACCATCTTGACAACCCATTCTCTAATTTCAGACTTTGAAATTTATGTTCAAAAATGTAGATATTCAAAAGCATTTTGTCCAGCCAAGTGAGAATGGAGAAATATTAAGAGAGTTCTGTGATGGTAGCTATTTTAAAGAACATCCTCTTTTTTCCAAAGAACAAAATTCTCTTCAGATACAACTCTTTTATGATGACTTTGAAACTTCGAATCCCCTTGGTTCTAAGCATGGAATCCATAAGATTGGAAGTATTTATTTTGTTTTGAGAAACCTGTCATCAAAGGTAAACTCTGCTTTAATGAATATTCATCTTCTGGCACTTTTTCACACACAAGATGTAAAGCGATATGGCTTTAATGCCATTTTGGATCCAATTGTGCGTGACTTTAAAATTCTTGAGACATCTGGAATTACATTACCGATCTCAGAGGATCCTGTCCATGGAACTATAGCTCAAGTAACTGGAGATAATTTGGGAATGCACACACTTTTTGGATTTGTAGAATCTTTTAACTCAAATTATTTTTGTCGTTTTTGTTTGATTGACAAATGTGCTTCACAGAACATTTTCTCTGATGACCACCCAGACATAATACTGCGTGACAGACTTCTACATGCCCAACATTGTCAAAGCCTCTTTTCAGATGCTGGTCCACAATCATCCTTTGGTGTGAAAAAAACATGTTTGCTGAATGAGCTACAGTATTTTAATATTTCGGACAATTTTGCATTCGATATAATGCATGATATATTAGAAGGTGTAGGACAGTTAGAAATGAAATTGCTTTTTAACCATCTATCACACAGCAGCATTATATCTTCACAATCTGCAAGCAATAGAATTTACTCATTTAACTATGGCTTTGTTGAACGTAAGAACAGACCAACAATGATTAATTTTGAACAAGCTGGGAATGGTTTGGGTCTCAATGCTATTCAGACATTTTGCCTTATTAGAAATCTGCCTTTAATTTTTGGAGATCTGGTTGAAGTTGGAGATAAACACTGGAGTTTGCTACTGCTTTTACTTCAGATAATAAATATTGTGTTTTCTCCAGTCATCTCAGAGGGCATGACTATTTATTTAAAGCATCTGATTTGTGAACACCACACACTGTTTAAAGAACTTTACCCAAGGAATCTCATTCCTAAGCACCACTTCATGACCCATTATTCCAGATGCATCAGGAAGATAGGCCCGCTGGTTCATGTGTGGGGAATGCGTTATGAGGCGAAACATCGCTTTTTCAAAAAAAGTGTGAAGAATTTCAAAAATATTACCAAATCTTTAGCGCTAAAACACCAGATGTGTATTGCATACCACTGGGAATCTCAGCCATTTAAGAATATTGACTGTGGGCCTACAACAAGCGTTCAGCTTTGTGACCTGATTGACTGTGAATTCATTGCAGAAAGACTGCAAATTGACAATGAAAGTAATGTAGATCATCTTTCTTGGATTACTTGTTTTGGAACTGAGTATCGGTCAGGCCTTTTTGGTTGTTCAGATTTAAGAGATGACATTCCTGTGTTCACTAAAATTACTGATATTATTGCATTTGACAGTCAGTATTTTTTGCTGACATGTGAATTTGAAACTGTATGCTTTGTTGAACATCTTCACTCCTTTAAGGTTAAGGAGGAGCTTTGTAGAAAAGTTTCCCTTTTGAATGTTGAAACCTTGCGTTTTTTTAAGCCATTCGACCTTCAGATAAGTTATGGATTGGAGGAAAATGACTTTTATATAGTTCCTGTACACGTTTTCACATGAACCACTTTAGTTCAGTGATGGTACATTGCTGAGGCTTTCCTGTATGTTTAGATTTGAAAGATGCTATTTCTGTGCTCAGTAAAACGTCGGATATTGTTTGATGGACAGCATTTTTTGCTTGCTTATGAAATTGAAAGTGTGCTTTTGTTGAACATTACTAATTTCAAGGAAATCCCCCTTTTTGAGTGATTTTTGCTGTGGTTTTAATCCATGTATTTTTTTTAAACAACTGTATGCAAAAATTACTTTTATATTTTTATAAAGCATTTTGGTTCAGGAATGGGGCTTTAGCTCATGTTGTCTTGTTTATGTTTGGCAGTGACAAGTAAAATATTAAACATTTCCACTGCATTTTTTTCAATGTGACAAATGTTTGTCTAAAAAATGACATTAATGACAAATTAAAGTTTTCAGGTATGAAATGCATATTCTGTGAAGTGATTTAATGTTGCCTGTGCTGTGAATTTTTAAGAAAATCAATTCTGTTTTGTAACTTTCTCCATGATTGCTTAATTTATGCACTAAACACTTATTTTAATAAGGCTGTAACAGAAGAATTTATTTACATTTTGTTATTATTCCAGGGTGTTAAAATTTTCAAATATACACTTATCTTTATGAGTTTCATGTGTGGAAAATGTTAATTTTTCTCATGTTAGTTCAAAGAAAAATAGAATTTATGCTGAATATGACCTGGCTATGGTGATGGAGTATTTACTATACACTATATCTAGTTTATAGTTTTTACACTCTTAGTGTAAAATTATTTACTCAGCTTAAGTGTATATATTCAGCACTTTACAAAGAGTAACTTATACACTGGGCTGGTGGGACTCGTATATACACCAGAAGAGAGTGTAATTTAACACCTGAGGAGTTATATTTACACTGGACAATTTGCCCTGCAGGTGTTAAAAATGTTTAATGTGGTGTGCATTTTTACACTCTAAGTGTAAAATATTTTACACTGCAGAGGTGTACATATTCAACACTTTTCAAAGTGTAATCTGGACACTTGGCTGGTGGGACTCATATAGACACCAGAAAAGTGTTAAATTCAACACCTGTGGTGTAAAATGTACACTGGCAAATTTGCTGTGTAGAAAGTTGTTTGCAGATGTTTGTTCAAAAGAAGTGAAGAGAATGGTCCTAAGAAGAAATGTTCTGAGGAGACAATAAACACAGATTTTCTTTTCTGCTGATCTTCCGCAGACCCCTAATGCCGTAACTCTACACCCTCCCATACATCCCATTTTTAAAACCACAATTTGATATAATTGTAGACTGTTCTTCAGTTATACTCCAGGTACGATGGTTTTCCACATGCACACAGAGATAGACCATCTGACACTCGATCCATCTCCCCCATGATGCTCTGGATTTTATCAGGAACACTGCAGCAGATGGGCTGCGAACAAGAGCTGAGCGATACGTGTTAAAGCGCATACGCACACATTTCATGAATATTGCGTGCTTTAACTCATCGGAGACCACTGGCTTCTTTGAAATAAGTCTCTAGCTTTGGCAGTGGTGTAGATAGTCATCCAGACTTCATGGCAAACCTAGTGAAAGCCTCCTCTTGGGAGCAGCAGCTCCAGACTCTAAAGGAGAAACGTTGCACTCAGATACTCCCACTGCACATCTGCCCCCAAAGCCCCGGAAAATCAACAGCGCTAAAGCTAGCTTATGAGCTCCATTTCACAACCGCAACTGACATTGACACAGTGTTGGAAGGCTGACATCATTGTGTTTTACATTTATTTTTAGCAAGCGTGGAAAGTTTGTTGCACTTTGCTTTGAAATATTACAAAAATGAAATTTCGCAAGGTTGACCTCATAATGAGAGATACGATTTATTGGCAAATACCACTTGTTTTAATTATTTCTCCACCAAAATATTTTAAAAGTTTTTTAGTATTAAAACTTCAGGTGCATATAAATAAAAACGATTAAAAACAGCAATACAGTTTTTCTTGACTGCTTTGATGCAGCCGTCAACTGAAACTCCACATTTTCAAAACAGTTACAGTTTTTTCCAATTGTTTACACACAATTACTTGTACTTCAGACACAATGACTACAACATGTAACTGATGCACCAAACCCCTGAACCAGTTCTGCTAAAATACAAGCACCATTCCTGCTTTACACTCAAACTGCAGGTTTAAAACACTTTTTTTCAAAACACTACACACAATTCTCTGCATTTTGCACAATTTTCATGCAGAAAATCTTTTGTTTTCACAAAGAACACACTTTCATTCACAATTGTAAAGTCAGTTGTCCTACTTTGCATACTAACTCATCACATGAGTAAACACCTGTCACACAGAAGGGCAATTTAGAAATCAGGGCTCATCTGGTTCATAACTGGCTCACTGCCCACCCATTTTTTTAGTTGTTTATCTCCCTCTATATTCTCCATTCCTCAAACCTATTGAGGTTTTTTTTTCTGCCTGGAGATGGAAAGTGTATGACCGAAATCCACACACACGTATACCCCTTCCCCAAGCTATAGCAGTTGATGCTTTTCGTGGCTGGATTCGCCATGCAAAGTGACATTTCCCCCACTGCTTGGCCAGATCAAAACAGAAAAGAGGATGAAGTATAGCTGTTTTTTTTATTTTATATATATTTTTTTATTTTACTGTGACTGTATTTAGTAAATACTTCTGTATGATGGTATATGTAGATCACAATAT